GTTCCATGGCTCAGTTGTCAGTGAGAGGCCAGGAGATCTCATGATTCTATGCGAACGGAGCCGAGCAACCGCGAGGATAGAAAAAGTTGCACCATTTTCATATACTTAGTTATGTCTATATAACTATTAGAATTTAAAGTCGCCATAATTCCCAAATGCGGGTCTCCTAAGGTTTTTTATTTGGCGAGGGAGAGCGTGAAACCTGACAGTTTCCTTCGTAGCACAGGTTTTTGACTAGTGGTAATTGTCATGGAAGCTTCAGTGAACCACGAATCTCAAAATAACTAGGGGTGCGAAACATATCCTGCAACGCTTTCGACGCATGAAGTGTATGTGTCTGGTGCAATGTATCATCTGATGAGAGACAAAAGGTGACATGATCCAGGTCTCTTCTCGACGTGCAGAGCACTACGTAATCTGCTGTATCGCTCATCTCTTGCTGTCATGTTTACATTAGCGCGAAGAAGGTTACGGCAAAGGTTTTCTTTCGTGAACGTGGGAAAGGCGTCGGTTCCCTTCTTTAATTGAATGGGTGACGCTGTTTAATGATCATGCTTCCAGAATATACTTTCACAGTATTCCATGTCGCCGCAGTACATGTGGCTTGATTCACTTGAAGGCTTTCATCCGAGAATAGCTTTCCGGGGTAATCCTATCCTTTATATGCAGTGCCATGCAGTGCCTAGTCCGCTTTAGGGGATTTGATGCAAATGCCCCGGAAAAATAAAGCATTTATGACGTCACACCCCGAACCCGACACGGATCAATAGGGAGATTAACCACTTGACGCGCACGGAGAGATGTCAGCCTGGAAAATGTATTTCAATCTCTCTCGGAGCGTGGGAATGGGAGCATCTGTACCTTAGCCCTCCCCCTCTCATTCCCTGTCATGATATGAATTCCTCATCAGGATTCTGACATGGTCTGGCTTTTCTCTTCCCTCGGGATCAGCGCTTCCAGGATCTTCCCCCTCGAGACGATAGATCTTGTCAAGTAGTCTCGCTCGAGACCAGACATCATGAACTGCGAAATATTACCTGATGCTGTTCGCGAAAAATGAATTTGTCGCGATTCACGCACTCGTCTTCACTTCACTGTCCAGTCAGAATAATTTCATTTACTAGATGAAATATCAGACTCGGTATTCAACACCTGCAAAGCGATGTTCACGATATGTGCATGTTTCTCGAGATTGATGATTAATTTTGTCATTTGATTGATAAAGAATTAAAATTAATCTAAAGTTGTGAAGTCCCGAAACCTTCGACGGAGCGCTACTTTTGAGGCGAAAGAAATTACTTAATCATAGAATTGAACAACATTCTTGAATGCGACGCTCGTGGCGTCGAACATATTCTTGTTATTCATGTTGCTATTCATGTTAAAATTTTATAAAAACATCTGCACTCTTGTGAATTATTCTAACATCTGCAAAGCGATTGCAGTTCCTCTATGAAGCCCCCCGCTCCGGGGAATAGAAGACTCTGGAAGACGTAAAGAAAGGTCCGAAAGGCGTCGTTCTCGCTTCCTCGTTGGTCGAGGAGCGATGACGTCATCCTCATCCGATCATCCGATTGGTCAAGTTCCCATAGAACGAGTATGCTATGTGGATGTATGAGGGAGAGAAAAAAAATAGGGCAGGTGTTGGGGATTGCTTTCGGGCTCCATCACTTAGTTAATGGGTTTCTCCGCTCGAGGGACAACGACGATTAAGTCCCCGGGAATGATCTCCATCCTCTTAATGGTGCGGACAAAAGGATAAAGGTCTCTCTCCCGTTCTGTGTACCAATCCTCTTCTCCCACATACTCTTTTGGCCTTATCTTCCCTCCGATAGAGCGTGAAAGGAGAGGGACCTCAATCATATCTGACGCCTCTCTCGTCAGAGTCCAAGCTCTTGGATTTCTCCCTCATTTAACCCTTTGAGGCGAGGTGGCTGCACCGTGTAACCACCTTTACTTTATTTTACATTATTTTCTCCCTGCCCTAGGAACGGTGATTTCAAGGCGAAACCACTTGTAATGGCTGACCACAGATCTAGGGGTATAATTCGAAACTTTGAAATCACTTTGTTGGAATTGACAGGTTCTATGAAAGAAAAATTATGACATCAGAAATTGTAAATTCGTGGCTCAAAGGGTTAAGGAAGGCATAATCCAAAATCACTTATTTAGTATATGTGCACAGGATTACAGTTTATTCCATGGGAGAATGAAGTGAGATCAAAACTGAGAGTGTGTTCAGAGTGAAATGATAGGAAATACAAGAAAATTACGACCCTTAATACTTATTTCAAAAAATATTTTAAATGCCCTCTTCCGCAGACGATGCTTCAGACGTCGATTTCTTTCTCCTGTGTGATCCTCTCATGGAATCTTAATACTGCCCTGCGAATTTTAGCGGGTAACTGTTGCTTTATGCATTCAATTGTAATGAGATTTCTTGAGCGATCTCAAAAAGGGCTTTGCCTACTATAATTTTGGCAATATGCAGGATGTTTCAAAATTAATATTATTTTGAAATTTTATTGAATGAGTAGAAAAACTTTGTACTTTTTCATGAACCATGGCCATCCATACATATCAAAGACACGGGAGCACTCTTGGCGAAAATTCCGTTAAATTCACTTGAGGCCCTTTTAGGTAAATTATCAGTAATTTCTTTTATGAAGAATCTATGACGTTACCGATGTAACAATTTCCCACGTAACTCACGAAGTGTCTTTGAGAGCAAATCATTTTAGGCCTTTCAGTTCTTGCCCTGGGGCAGTGTCAACATAGTAACATAGGTCACAGGCGAGTGAATTTTGGAATAAGAGTTTCTTCTTCCTCTCCTTGCCGGAGAACTGGTGGCATATTGGAAGCGGCAAGTCATCGCCGTGTGCAATTGCGACTTCAGCAATCACTTATACCTGGGGAACGTCACGTTCACAACACGGCAACGCCGTAAGAGAGTTTTCGTTTCGGAAACAATTGATAATTTAACCAATAAGGCCTAATGCGAACACAACGAAATTTTGTCAAGTGTGCTCCCGTACGTGTTGGTGATGTGGTTTTGAGGAAAGAGTGCTTAATGTCTCAATAAAACACCAATGAGGTTTATTTTCAAACACCCTGTATAGTCCTATCTAGCGGAAAATCTAATAATTTGGAAATTGTTGGTATCCGATGCACGATGTCTTCCAGGCGTTTCCAGATGGTCATCCGTATAGCAAACATCTCTGATCTGGTTGATCCCCCCGAGCAGGGAAAGAACCTGAACTCCTTCGTACGCCGGCGTCCAGCGATTTGATAGAGGAAAAATAACTCGAGAGAGGAAACTTCCTGAATGGCATGTGCTAAATAAAAACGGGTTCTGTACGTCAAGGTGTAGGTAGATTCAAGGACCGATAGATAGCGTGGAACGAGCGAAGCTTCCTTCAGTAATAACATCCGCCATGTCAATTATCGGAATTGTAATAACCTTCTCCGGCTGCTTTTTCCTAGTTTCTTTTTACCATTTAGATTGCACCCATCAATCAATATAGACTGAAAATAAATTCTAGCGATACTCTCGTCCAGAATACTGTATATGGGTAAGACGATATCAATCAAGAACAATGGAGGCTTGATGGAGTAGTTGATAGGTTGGTGCTTCTGAGGAAGCATATAGCTACGGTACAATATCGACGGTCCATTAGTATCATGAGAATAAGAGGAGGCAAAAATATGAAGTCTGGAGTTCTCTCATCGCGCGCAGGATGGCTGGAGTTGGATCGAGACACTTCGTTTGCGGGTCAGACAGTGAACAAAGTACAGAATTTTTCGAAATCAGTATCTCTTTTGCATGACTTTTCAAGGTGCAACCTGTCTACGTTCCCTACATAACACGTAATGTCACTACTGTATGATGGTTGCGCGAACTATCGCATAAGATTGCCATTCCAAAGCCAAAAATGTTGTCGGAAGGTAACGGGAAGCTTGTCACATGAAGGTTAATCTTGCAAATTGTGGGGATTTCGCTGCTCTAGAGAAGTAAAAAAATGGCCTTCCTTGTGAGGGGTGCAGAAGTTGTGCAGGTCCTCGGGCTGGTTCAGGATCAACGCCTCGGTGGGGAGTTCGGTGGTGAAGTCTACGAACTCCCACATCGTGCATTCGTAATATTCACCTCTTCTAATGGCAGGATTGATAGTCAAGTTTAGTTCATTTGAAAATGTTATTTGATAAATTCCGTCCTATTTTGCCAACCCTAAATTATAGTGTCCTAGGCAACTGCTAACCTTTCCAACCTGCTAAAGCTGACCCTGGCGGCAACGAATGAAGCGAAAACGTACGGACAGTGGGTATTAACTCCTCCGACTGCGTCACATCGAGTAATCATGACGTACGCTTTGTTACGGTCTGCAAACGTAGTACGCCCGTAGGAGAGGATGAGAAAAGACGTATCGTTGGCACCTTCCGGATCGCCAGAGGACGTATGACGCATTCTGTACCATCTAAACATTACCTGGGCCAGCCGATTCATTAACGTCGCATTTCTGTAACCTGAATGTGATGTCCATGCAGCTTCGCCAACAAAGTCCGAGATCTGCTGGCGTTTCAAGACGTTTAATTCTTCCTGCTGATGGCCTCCTTCAATCTACGTCGTTCCAGGCATTACTCCATGTCATTTGATGCCGTCATCATCGTTCGATATGTTATATTATGAGAGCAGATGACTAAAATGTGGAAAAAGTTCAGTCTTGAAAACCCTTTCTTTTTTATTCCCTGGTTCCTTAGAATACGTGACTATTGCAGGTGCTTAAGTAGGGGCTTCAGCCCTTCATCAAAATGAAAATCCCTTCGTCCCACTCTTGGCATAAGCCGAATTCGATCCAACTGTAACGTCATATAACCATTTCTCCTCCGAAGGAAAAGCGGGAAAACGTACATTGGAAAATCCCATAATGAGGTATGGCAGGCACACAACTTGCATAGTCGATTCACTGGAAGGACTCGGATGCGACTAGAGATAGATGGTGACGTCACTGATGTGCAGTGGAAGGAGGAGGAGTGAGGGTGATCCATTGAGCTTCCACGTCGTCCGGCCTTTCATTGGATCCATGAGGAGCTATTAGGGGTTGAGGTGTGCCATTCGAGGCCAATCGACGTCTGTTGATGAATAGAGCCGAGTTTTTCTGATCCGGCTTCAAGTTTTTGAAACCCCCGATCGTCGCCTGCTGCACCCTTCGGGACTGCAACGGAGGTCTCACCGTTACCGTCACCAAGTTAGGATTCCGGAGAGAGACCTGAGAAGGAGTTTCCTGAGGGCCCAATGATTCCTGTTTCCGATCGTGAAGTTGTAGCTGATGTTCGTCTCGGTTCTGTCCTTTATTTTCTTGCTGTTGATCATATAGTTGCTGTTCGGTGAGCTGCTGCTGCAGTAGTTCGGTTTGCTCTTTATGGCCGATTTGCTGACGTTGTCGGGGTCGCAGTCGAGAAGGTGACTGAAATTCCACGTGGTTTTCATTTCCAGCTGGGGGCAGGGGATGCCATGGATTTTCCGGGGTCCCATGGTTCGATGCAAGGTTGCGGTTAGTTTCAGCCGATGTTTTTGGCTGACCAGAGAACGAAGATGCAACAAGAGGTTTTTCTTGGGTCGTGATCGACGAAGGGAAGACATCCCCTCGATAAAGTGAATCGCCCAGAGAATGAATCGTTCTGGTTTGGAGCTGATTCTCAGGAGAGGCCAAGTTGAACGAGTCGACGTAGAGAGGTCGATCCACCGTGGATTCGTCACGAGAAGGGGAAACATTTTCACCTTGATGAGGCTGCTCCTGTTCGCCTTCGACCAAGATGCTCTCCTGACTGTTTCCTTCCGGATATTCCACGACTGGGAAAGAGATGACGATTTTGGTCCCGTCGACCGTGTTGAGCACCAGGTGTCGAACCACCTTACGAGGTCTGAAGGTCGTCACCTCCGGTTCTCGTTCTCGAGGTTCCAGCCTCTGTTTCTCCAAGAACGTAGGGATGGCTACGACCGGGTCATCTTGCTGCGAGTTCCTCCACGGAACGATCTTGTCCGAGATCCAGAAGGGCGGAGCATCCTCTTCTTCCAAACCGAGGTCCCCCGAAACGGCGTTCACGATTTCTCCTTCAAAAGCAGGATCCGTGGCCGATGAGATGGGATCATTTGGGGGAAAGTTTTCTCGTTGAACAAAATTCCTGGGAGTCGTGGGGATAGCTCCCAAGCCTGTGGGCAATCCCGGAGGGAAAGTTTGTTCGAGGTAGTTTCCTGCTATTTGGGGTATTCTGTCCGATGGTCTAGGGAAGAATTGGGCGCCAGATGCGTTCTGCACATTTGAGACAACTTGGAAGAGATTCTGACCGCCACGATGTTGTTTGCTTTCTTGGATATTTTTAGGGAAGGTTTGCTGAAACGGAAGAACCGGAATATTTTGCTGTGAATTCTGTTGAAAGACTGGGTTGTTCCGAGTTCGAGGAATCTCTTGTGGAGGATAAACTGTTGTTTGCTGGGAAAATTCTGGATTTGGAATCGGCCTATCCAGCTGTTGAGGAAACACCCGAGCCTGCTGGTGCCGGTGTTGTGCCTGTGCCGGCGGGGGCAGATGAGTTTTCGCTGTTGGGTGCGAGAAGGCTACATCCTGGAAGGGCACAGCAGTTGCTATCTTACTCTGTTGTGGATGCGATCGCGCCGTAGTCGAAATTTGCTGGTCCTCGAGATCATTCGACTGACTTTCCAGTCCTTGGTTAAAGTTTGAAGACGTTCGACAAGTGACCCTCGACCATTGATTGCAGGCCAGAATTTGCTCGTCGAAGATGTTCCCGTCCGGACATAAGAGGGTGAACATCTGGGACCCCATGCACACATGGAATACCTATAAAATGGCAAATTCAAGTACAAATAGACATACATGAATAAGTACCCGTAAATCCATGCAGTACATACATACTTTCCTATGAAGAAAGTTTAGAGGATTTTGATGGAAGATCTGGTATAGAGATAAAATTATTGACGGAATTTCATGACATGGATTGGGGATAGATACTCACTTTCATCCATTTTCCAACACAAGGGGACATTTATTAAAATTGCATACACCCAGAGCAAGTCATAAATAGAAACAGAGAATGGAAAACAGAAAACAGACGTTGTTTACGTTGCAGCAGAAGACACTTTTGCTTCAAAACAGAGGCTACTGAAGGCTTCACATTAGGACGATCATGGGGTCCCACTGTGAGATCAAGCAAATAGTTCCCTTTCAAGGGAAGCAGAATAATTTTCAAGAAAAACGCCTAGGTAGCTTAAAGAGGCCTAAAATGACCCACCAAGCCTCATGCACAAGGTATGTCTACTTTCAAATATATTCGGGAGCAGTCAATCTATACTTATCGAGAAGAAATCGTCTTTGTCATAGCTTTTAGATCTCTGATCCGTGACCCTCACCCCCCCCCCCCCCCCAAAAAAAAAAAAAAAAATTGATGTCATGAGATTTCAGGAGTCCCGGGTTTACTTTGAAGTCCTCAAATGAATTATAGTGACGAATGAGGCTCTAAAATACTTATTTCACAAGCGGCAATTCATAGGGGCTTAGGGGCTTAGGGGCTTAGGGGCTTAGGGGCTCGCCCCCCCCCCCCTCAAAAAAAAAAAAAAAAATTGTAAAGAGGAAGCTGAAGTAAGAGACTGGGCCAAATACAGAAATGTTAGAAATGATTGAAATTTGGACTATTTTTATTCTGACATTTATACCACACATTAACTGAGAACGTCTTGACTCCATGTATTTCCAGTAAGGTTACGAGGAGATTGGAAAAGTTATGTATTTTAAGTAGGGTTGTACCGATGTATCGGCTAACACCGGTATCGGCCGCCGGTGTTGCACCATCGGCACCATCGGCCATCGGCCTATGGAAATGGTGCCGGTGCTGGTGCCCAAAGGACGGACAAAGCGAAAAAAATTCCGTGAGGGTGTTCGCTTGCCTCCGCGCCGGCCCTCCTGTCTCACTTAGGCCACTCCTGCCAGCCTCTCCCAGGCAAAACTATCGATCGGATTATGTTACAGCCATATTATAGGAACTGGCGGAGGAAAGTAGCGGTAAAGAACGGGAAATCATCGTATCACTATTAACCTTATGCTTTTGCAAGGATGTGTCATTGAATGCTCTGAACTGCAGCAATGGGTAGCAAGCTAACCACGGACAGAAGCATTGAGAGACAGACAGGCTGGACAGAACCAAAAGTGATCTCTATCGTTTCAAGGAGGCCTACTGATGAGGATCACGACGATGACGATGAGGACCAATTAGGCCTATTTGAATTTATAGGCGATTTCTTCTACAGGCCACAATTGGCACCGGCACCGGCTGATGGTTATGAGAAAAAAATCGGCCATCGACCCACCGGCCAAATTTTGCCACCGGTACAGTCCTAATTTTATGTCATCGAGCAAACTTGTCACCTGTGTTCTTCGAATGACCATGTCTCATCATATAACTATAAAGCGCCTTGAGTTCATTGTGGTTTTTGTACCCGAGTGCCGAGAATTTGCACGACACGTTTGCATTTGCCATATTCACCATGTACTGATAGCGAACGAGATTCCATGAGAGCGAGAGGGGAAAAGAAAAATGCCAGGGATGGCATCGAGGAAGAAGTTTCAGCTTTCATTCATTGCTTGTGCTCTGGAGGTCCGAGAAAGAATGGATGTAGGAAAAGAGAAGGAAGGGGAACCTTCGCGGCTTGGGATCTGTGCAGTGAACGCACTTTCCTTTCCTGTCTCCTCCATGCAACTTTTTTCTCCCCGAAATAAAGGTTGAAAAAAAATACTGAAAAAAAGGCACGCGACTCTCCTCGCCCCTTTAAAAACTCGGCGGAATGGTTAAGATAGGCTAAACGTGCCTTCCATCAGGGTTCGCCCCTGCTTGACGAGGCGGAGTTCGTTAGAGATGAGTCGCGTTCGAGAATTCGAGCAAAAACCAATGGATCGAAGACCCACGTCTTGTCATTAAGGCCGCCTCAACATTCCTCGTGAGGGGCAAGGGTGACAACCGAAAGTGGAGTCTATCGGAGTGTCGAGCAAATTGGCGTAGTGACCCTCGGTTTACGACACCGACGTGACCCGAACGATCGATTCTGTCTGCTGATTGGAGACGGTTGGAGCCACATGACTGTGAGGCTATGTAATAGTCATACTCAACGAAGAGGCAACATTGGTACATTCAGAGTATACACTGGGAGTGCCAGAGCACTGCAACGTTTCAGCAGGATGGTATAGACCAGTGATGAACAACTTTTTTTCAGGGAAATATTCGCTAAGGAAGTCGAGGGACGTACCCGACATCCGGTGTCGTGATCTGCAAAGTAGCCGTCCCGACTGCAATCGAATGACATCACTGGAAAGGCTGAAAGTGACGTGGAAATGTCTGGATTCCTAATTTCCTTCGAATGAGAATAATTGCGAAAGCGAAGTAAAATGAAATAGTAATTGAACTAACCACCGATGATCCTCGCATCGGGAGCTTCGTTCCCATGATCTCTTCTTCTAAGAGAGAGAACTGCCAACGCCGTCAAAACCTGCAGATGACGATGTTCATGATGGTTAGAATGAATTGGCGTTCTGATTTCCTGAATTTCCTCACAAAAATGTTGTAATCGACGATGGTCATTCATGATACTCACCTCCTGAAGGAGCATAAATTTGAGGATGAGGAAGGCCTTCATGTCGAATCTGCAACCTAAAAGAAAAGGATTGGATAATCGCTCTGGAGATGAATGGGCTCTCCGATGACATTACGCGACTTTCGTGTCGGAAGAAAGTCCCAGATGATGTTCCGCTGGAATGATGATATCTCGCCCACGTGAGAAAGTGTCCCTTTGAAACCCTCAATACCGGAAGGGATCTCGTGTTTACAGTTCGTGGGAGAGAGATTACGCAGGACATGACGCTGAATCATGGAACTAAGAGAAAAAAACTTCATCCATCTTATCGCTTATGCTTCTCGAGTGTGAACCATGTCGTGTACCTTCCGACTCGCCTCTTTAACTTCACATGCATGAATTCGATTCCATGGCATGGAAAGCACGATATGTTGTGGTCGGGATCATCCCGATGGAACTCGCGAAATGAGCTCTTTAATCCGAGTTCGTTTCACTCCTTTGCTATATTATTTCATTACGTGCAAGCTGTGAATTTGAAATCCTACGAATAGCATGCATACAATAGGAATAAGTTATTCGTATACTTTTCCTAATTTATATATTCGTTGGAGCTCGTTTCCGAAAATTGGAGGAAAGAAAAAGCGTCCCATCCGCGTCAGGGTTGACAAGTTCTGGGCGAAGCTTCCTTCCTTCTCTTGAGGAAGGTGAGAAAAGGAAGGAAACTTCCTTCTCTCTCTCCTCCCTCGAGAGCGTCTTAAATGCTTCCCACTACAGTATCGTGGATTTAACACCTCAAAATAACATAGATGTAAATAGAAATCATCATATAAGGTCAACGTGAAATCCAGATTCGACGAACCTGTCGAATGTTTCTTAACCCACAAATTTGATGAATTTACCGACTTGGGCGCTAAGAGGGGCATTATTATCCACGTTGATTATCATCTGGAAGCAATTGCATTTTTTTTCCCTATTTCAGCTACGATGGTAGGGCTCATCGCGGGATGCTAGCGAAAGGTAAGTTCCGTGGAGTTCTTGACCACCGTCGACGAAACAATAAAGCGGAAAGAACAAAAGGGGTGAAAAATCGAAAATGGGGTTGCAACATTCGCGGCTCGTCATTAAGCCTATGACCAGGCGGAAAAAGGGAAAACCATCCGAGGGATGGACGACACGCCGAAACGAAACACGGAGACGGAAGAGAGGTCCGATGCAATCATGACGATGCGGATTTTTGCATAACGGGGGGATTTGCACGGGCAATTGCCTCCTTCGAACCCGATTCGTGATCGGCTGGAAGCATACCTTTCGGTGAAAGCTCCCTCGCCCATTCCGATCCTCGTCTCCGTCTTTTCGTTCCCTTTCATGCTAATCACTATCGTTTCGTTATGGATCATCCGGGTCTGCGAATATGCCATCGGAACCGCTTCGTTTTTCGTTTCACGAGCAATGCGAGGAGCAATGCAGTTCTTCCTCTTCCTACTGCTTCTTTTTCAAATTTGCATTTATTTTAATTTTTTAGCGAGCCTCCTTTTTTAATTATAAGTAAAAGCTCTTTTATATGCAATCGTTCTGCTGTCCCTTGGTCTGCACGCGTCAATTAGTCAACGTTTGCAAGACAGAATTTGTGAGATTTCTCCAAACCCCAAAACAAGTTAAGGTGCTAAAGAAAACGCCCGCATGTTCGTAGTTTTGAGTTCCAGCGACTCATTCCTCATTTCTCCAGAGTCTCCGCGGCCTAATTTTATTTGCATTGCATTGCATCTTATTCCATTTAAAATACGTACCCTAACGGTTTTCAACGCTACACTTTCTTTAATAGAATTTTAAAAAAGGTGATTATTCGAATGACTTGATGGAATCGTTCTGGGTTCTCTGCTAAATTCAACCTCCACAAAGTTGCCAGCGGTAGTATGATATGCAAAGTATGAGGGAAAAAAAGACCCTTGGACACTTGGAAACCATACACCTCCACTCACAGGAGTTAATTTTACGAAATATCCACAGCATATTTACTCTTTTATTCACTGCATATATTTTAAAAATATATTCTCCAAATTAGTTTGACCAAATCAAGGCTATGAGCAATTATTTAACCCTTCATACCCGAATTAAGTTTTAGGCACCGGAGAAACATTCCTATTACTTTTTCGGATAGAACAAAGCTAAGAAAACACGCGCAAGTTGAACACATTTTTTGTTCAGTCAAATTTAAATCACTCAACAAGTTCCAAGATTGCATAAAATCATGCAACCTCTTTAGTTCTGCTGGCAATCAACTCCTCATTTTTGGTTCTGTGCTACCTTCTGTAATCTACCGTGCAATAACATCGGGAATATAGTTGGATAAAGAATTTCTGAAAGTTACTCACCCGACATGTTCAGGAGCCTTTAAGTTCCCTCTCTTTGTGCAATTCTAGATGCGCACAGACACAACGACACCTTGTAAAAATAAAATCATGAGATAGCGTGCATTGCTGCGGTAAGGCTAACAGGCATTACCCAAGGAAAGTTCATATGCGAGGCTCGAAAAATTATCGAAATCAGAAGTTCCAAGAGGATCCTTAGGGTATGAAAGAAATTTGGAACTGAAAATTGGAAATAGTCGGAGGGCCTCAGTTCCTCTCAAGTAACTTTAACTGACGTCTACCACCTCCTTCGAAGTAAACGAAGCAGAAAACTGAAGAAAGGTGTAGGAAACTTTCCTCATCGATACCTGTCGCTTCGCGAGTGATTCACCGAAAATGTCATGCCAAATTCACTAAAAGGCCAGCCAATACAATAAGTCTATCGCAAGTAACGTTGAACCATTGCCATAATATTCGGTCGCAGCGCAATGACTTTCCTCCACTTGACCACCAGCACGCGCTCCTGTCAATTTCCAGTTTTCGAATACTCTTTACCATCCTTCATAGAGTTGCTGTGGCAGAATGAATTTAGATGCAATTTCAAAAGACTGCTGGAAACGACTTTGGGACACACTTGCGCTGCGCATGGATATATCGGTCTGTGCATTCTGCAAATTTCGTAAGGAAAAAAAAGTTCCAGGAAGAGCTGAGAAATATGAGTTTTAAATCTGAGGTATTTTTTGTCATACCCTGTATTTCTAAGATCTCATCCGATAGTGATACTTTCGTTCCGTGACGTCTGTGCTCTTGAGTGTGACCTGCACCGAAGGATTACTCATCGAATGCCGAATCGATGGTTAAAATCTAAGAAATGAAACCATGTGTATCCACATATCGTCATTCTAAGAAGTCTCCTTACGAAAGGGAACCCGTAAACCGTGTCAATATCCGATGGCAAAAAAAGAGTTTTGAATATGAAAAGAATACGAAAAAGAACCACAGAGAAAACCGAGATAATATTTTATGTGAGACTGCGATGTATTTCGTATACGAAAATGTTGGCGATGGAGAAGGGAAAAGATTACCTGGTTGGATGAGGAGCGAAGTTGGAAGCTGACTGGGGAGGAGCAGTCACATGTGACTGGAGGACAGGAGGAAGCTCCCACTCCTCTGCATCTAATCCGACTCCACTTTCACCCTCCCTCAAGCAAAAGAAGAAGGTAGGCAACAAAAAAAAATCCGGCGGGCACGACTTTTTCCGGCCGCCGATCGAGATCGATTCGCTCGAGAGAAAAAAGAGATTTCGGCCCGAGTAGGGTGTTTACAAATGAGTCTTAACAGAGGACTTCCGCCTCTGAAGGCCGATCTGGTCATCTGTCACGACTCCATTCTCACCAGTGATGTCCAGCTTTTCCACGAATGAAAGGAGGTTTTATTACTTCCCTTAACTTTGTGAAGCACATTACATAAGGATAGACACGAGAAAAAGGGACGTTGGACGAGGAAGTCACGTAGACGAGCTTCAATCTCCGGTCATCAGGTTCATGAATTCTGCTGGTTTTATTACTTCCCTTAACTTGTGAAGCACATTACATAAGGATAGACACGAGAAAAAGGGACGTTGGACGAGGAAGTCACGTAGACGAGCTTCAATCTCCGGTCATCAGGTTCATGAATTCTGCATGAAGGAGCCCAACATTAGATCCAGACAGATATTAATCTAGAGCAGACGGCAAATTTAAATCAAATTATGGTAAAACTAAACTAGATGCTTGCTAAAGAAGTTGTTCGTACTCCCTACCGAAAGGATTAGAAGCCAAGATCAATGTTTCCAGGGAACAAAAAGCAGAGAAAAATGTAGAATGGAGATGAAGAACGGAATTCACAGTGGAAACACCTACGTCAGAGGAGGTGGCTAACCAAAGAGTGAATGGATGAAAATCGGATTTTTAAAATAAGTCATATCATAATGAAAATGCAGGTAAAACAGGACGCGAGAACATGTGCACATCTCTTAATCGCTAACCTCATTTTCAACTCGTATACTCAACCTTCTGGACACCATTATAATTTAGTGGTGGAGGCTCGTGATCTGTAGCAGTAATAACTCGTCATTAGAGACAGGACCCTGTCCACCCTGTCTACCTTTCCTTCATTCACGACTGCGGCAAACCTCGAAGCACCACTGTAAATGAGAGCTCCCACTCCATCGTTAACCTGAAAGTTCTCCTTATGGAATCTCTTTCCCGATGACCCTATCTATTGAAAAATCTGAAGTTTTGGATTCTCAAAATTCGATCTACGTCTGTGACCACTACTTGCTAACTCCCTTCCTGCGCCTTCACCTTTTTTTAATCATAAATTATCATAAATTTAATTTATTTACTTCTTTTCAGTTTTTACTAGTTCACTCTTTGGTGAACTAGTACTACCCACCTCTCTGGACCTTATTGAATGCCAACTTTTCATTTTTTCCCCCTTCATTTCTAATTTTAAAAAGTCCCGAACAATATGGGTTTTGAAGGGACTGATGTAGTCGACCATGATCGATCGATATCGCAATATCGGCAATCCCTTAGGTTGAAATCGGAAAAGCAACGTAAAAATCCTTGGGGTGAGGGTCGGAATGATATCAATATATATTTATTATTGAGCTCACACGCAGCATAGACATACGAGGAGCGTTCAGAAAGTATTGCCTCCTCCTGCTTTCTGTAATTATTCACTCTACAGGGAAATGAGGTGATTGTTCGTGAAGAATGGAATGTGGGCTTTAATTTGATATTATTTCCTCTTTTTCTGCGCGTCATATCACAGGGAAGGAACATTTTCATTGGACCTCCTTATACCCACTGAGCTCTGCTACTACAGAGTTGCTGGTGCAGGTGATATGATGACACGAACAGGCACGATACTTTGCATTCTCCTGGAATATATACTAAAGTCTGTTCATCGTGACTTCTTGGGCTCGTGTCAGGACTCTGTTCATGAGATAACTGCTAACTGCCGGTGGGCTGTTCGCTCCAGAAAAGAAACGAGGAGCCTGGAAAGCGACCGCACGTCAAAGTATTCCCCCACTGTGCGATCCCAAGGAACTGTGCTCTCTTTTCGAGGCCATAGTTGAAGAGGATGCATGTATTGAGGTACATGATACAGCTAATAATGTGGCCATCTCGACGGGGACTGCTGAGACCATTCACCATCCCAACCTCTGAATGAGGAAGATTAGTCAGATGAGTTCCCCGCATGCTCATAAATGCATAGGAACGAGAATGGAGGGAAATTTGTGGTGAGAACATCACTCGAGTTGAAGATACATATTCAAGGCATTCTGCCTGAGTTATTACTGATGACGAAACCTGGATTTAGTTTTTTTTTCAGGCCAGAGAACTAGTTAGGAAGCAAGCACACACGACTGGAATTGATTCACGACCAGTCACTCCAAGATGGCAGAAGATGATATGTAAGGTGCTCGTGGTATTTTTTTTCATCTCTAAAATGCCTAGTAATTCACGTTCCAGCTTCAAAAGGGATACTTTTTGCAGGGCGATTATAGGTTAAAGTAATATGAGAAGTTGAAAAGGTTAACAGGAAGAGATGAGCAAAGTCTGCATAAGGATGGTGAAAGCTTCTGCCAAGCAATAGCCCAAGTGACAGGTCGGAAATTTATTTAATCACTTGTGATGGACAGAGTGAGGTGATGCAACCCCCTTTCTCTATTGATCCGATCTCACCCCAAGCTACTTCTCGTTGTTATGAACTCTCAAGTCTGAGCTGGCAGGGAAACACCCTGAAATTCAGAATGATCTGGAAGGTGAAAATTTCCAGTGCTCGAAACCGCACCCAGATTGGATTATTCAAAATGCAATCGTTGTTAGATTTCGATGATTAGATTCTGCATAGGGATAGACCAGGAGCACGTCGAATGGGTAATGTGAAGATGACATCTTAATATTATCTCATTCGCAAAAAATTGATAAGGAGGGAATACTTTTTGAACGCCCCTCGTAACTGCTTCTTACTTCCAATTTAGGTTTTCCGTCGATAAGTTTTTAACGTTGGACTAGCAATTCGCTGATTTGATATCCGGTGATGTCATATGGTGATGAGAGCTTCCTTGGGTAATTTCCTTACGTTAAGCCTCGCTTTGGGGGAATCAACTAGTTTGAAAATTCGAGGATCTGTTGAGAGCATATCAATTTATGTGCAATTAAAGTTTCCTAAAACAGCTCCAACGAGAGCAGAGATTGCTTGAGTCCTTCGTCTTCACTTCCCATATCCTATGGGTAAATACTTGCTCATTTCGCATCGCATCCACTGGTTCAAAAATATGAACCGAGGGACTCCAGACGAAAAATGGATTACGTGGAAATCGAAAGTTTTCAAAAGGTCGTCACGATTACGAACTCGAAGCGAGATCGAGAATGAAATTTGCGAAGAGGTTATAAATTTAAAATGAATGCAACATAATTGAAAGTGGCAAATGAGGAAATAACACAAGTGAATATTGAAATTGAACGCAGCTACAAAAAAAGAAAGAAAAAAAACAATGTGAAGAAAATATAGGATGTGAGGGAAAGGAGGGAAATGATGCGCATATGGAGCGCTGTTGGGGGAAGAGACGGACCTGCAAAGTCCACGGTTCCGGATCCGTCGGCGTCGATTTCCTCGATCATGTTGTCCAATTCGTCCTCGGTGAGTTTGTCGTCCAGTTCGCGCAGGATCTCTCGCAGCGTCTGAGTCGTGATGTACCCGTTACCTAATTATTAAAAATTTAATGACGTAAGCAGCGATAGTGAGGCTCGATCGTTTTGCATCGAGGAGCCAACGCCTAGACGATTTACGGTTATGGAAAGTTCGCGACTCGGACGAGAGACAGAGAGACAGGAGAGAGACAGAGAGACAGGAGACAGACAGAGAGACAGGAGACAGACAGAGAGACAGGAGAGAGACAGAGAGACAGGAGACAGACAGAGAGACAGAAAGAGAGAGAGAGAGAAAGAGAGAAAGAGAGAGAAAGAGACGGACCTTGTTTGTCGTAGAAGCGGAAGGCCTCGCGGAGATGCTGCTGGACTTCCTCATCGTCTTCGTCCGCCATGAACTGCGCCGCCAGCGTCACGAACTCCCCGAACTCGATCTTACCACTTCCTGCGCCGATCCCGGGGAACAGGGTAAGCGTTTCCCAAACGATACGGTTTCTAGAGGCCTCGAAATATTTTTTCACCTTCGATCAGCTCGTAGCGCCGACCGGGAAATTCTTCACGACCGAGATAACTTAATGTCTCGTCTGCACGATCCTGTTGCTCGTGGCACGAAATTCGCCTCGGAACTCACCTCGTCCGAGTTTTCTTTCTCATTCGACAAAATGCCAGAAATTTAAACCGAATTCCTTTGAATCGTCGTTCGAGAAGCTCGAGATCCTTTGCAGGCTTTATTCCGCGTCCCCTCGTGTGATTTCGTTGCTCCACGCTGTGAATCCGGATCGGACGCATTCCGAGGCGAAATCGACGGATTCTTCGTCCCGTCGACGATAGTTCCGCAGAGACGAAGGAACGAGTTACGCTTGGGCAGAAAAATTTCCTGCTGCCGTTGACGCCAGTGTCGAGAAATGAGGCCTATATTCACGTGACTCCCACGGTCGAGGGAGTCGTGTCATGTTTTCGAGTCGGGCACCGAGAGTTAAGGGTTCTCTTAGGGATCATCTTCATCTTCGTCGATCGAGAGTTCTTCTACTATGGATCCCCAACGGGAAGCGGGATCCCCAACGGGAAGCGGAATCCCCAACGAATGCGGAATGAGGGGATCGGAAGGAAGGCCTTGCACAGCGTACGAGATATGCCAAGCACGACTTATAAGAAATGCCACGGCCGTCTGTGGCTTTTCTTGTAAGCCGTATCCACGCCATTTAGACGAACTACTTCGGAAGGAATGACTCGTTCTGGCACGCAAAAAGGTCACGAAAGGGTAGGGTTTACGATCACCTTAAAATGGAACTGATATCTTTTTCTACACGGAAGTCTCCTCGTGGAAAAACCGCATCCACGATTACGGCCGAGTTTAGGCTTTCCTCGATGACAACCGCCTAAATTTCGGACGATAAGGCCGTAGTCTCGTTGGAGATGGCTTCGTAGTCCCCCGACGGGAATCGTGCAGGCCGGAAAATGGAAAACGATAGCGAAAATTCCGGTCGATGGGAAAAAGACAGTTTTGCGCGGAGCGATCCGGTGCGTGATATTTGCACGCACGAGGAGATGGAAACGGACAGAGCCGACGATTCGAGCGAATTTACCGAAAGAGAAAAAAGGGTCCGAACGGAATCTTATTCGGTAGCAAAGAGATGGAGATGAATGGACCATTCCTCACGGCTGGGCCGTCCTCACCGCATGAATGCACCGATCGACGGAGACCCGACTCACATGGATGGTCTGAGACTCGACCTTCCAGGAAGCGGATGCCACGAGACTCCGAAGCAGTACCGTAACGAGGGGTGTGAGAGCGGTGCCCCTGCACGGGGCGCCGAACTGAGGGGGTCGGTGTGCGGCTGCCGAATAATTATTAAATATGAAGAAAACTAATTTAAAAATTGCGAATTATCCTGAATTTAACTAAATTAAACGGAGAAATTAATACGCAATGTATTGTTGGTGCTGGGGAAGCTGGAGAGGTATAGAGAGAGGGGGGGGGGCGCTGGACTGTTATCTCGCACAGGGCGCCAAAAATCCTCGATACGGCGCTGCTCCGAAGCCATGGGCACTTACAGCTCCGTGCCCGCAACTTCATTTTTTTTTTGCAGAGAACCGCAACTATCGAAGGGCTGGATTCAAGTTACAGAATCACCTGTCGTTGCTAGCAGGAAATATTCGATTTCGTCGTTAGCGATTCCTCGTGGAATTCTACCCACTGCTACGCACTCGAGCGAACTTGCAAATCTTCGTATGACTGCAGTCTTAATAAAAGTACGGAATCCTACGAAGGATGAATCCTACAGAATCCTAGGACACGACCCCACCTGTACTTATGAGTAAGAGTAAAGAGATTCTCAGAGGCTCTTACCTGAAATCAAAGCGAGAAGATGAATCTAAAGAAGGAATAAAAGAGTGCAACGAACTCGCACGCTGGAACAGTGGCGTGCCCAGAAATCCGAATGGGGGGGGGGGTGACAACCGAAAGTGGAGGCTATCGGAG